AAAGATATTCCAGTGGGTGGTTCTTAATGTATTCAAGATTATTTCAGCAAAGTTCCAGCTCGAATGAAAAAGTTTTAATTTTGGAGCGATTTTCGTCCAAGTGGCCCTCATAATCATTGCAAGTCTTCTTACCAAAAAGGGTTTCCTTTTTCTCTCAACTTGAGCAATGGCCCCACTAAAATATAAAAAGATATTTTAAGAATAAATATTTCATGGCAATTATCCTTTTACTGGTCTCTCTAGTTTCATGACAATGAATGTTTTCGTGAAGATTATATTTGGAGCCATTACCAAAATCTAAGTTTGTTTAGCATTGGCATATTATTTCATTTACGAAGTAATTTTAAAAGCCCCTATTTAATTAAGCCAACAATAAGCTTGGTTAATGTAGGATTAAAGTTATATTATAAACAAAAGATCTCGAACAATGAGAATAACAGCGATATTTATAAAGAAATTTTAGTATGCATGACAAAGCATCCGCAAGCGCGCCAAAATATGGCGAACTAAAATCTTCCAAAGCAAAAAAACCTTACCTTCGTGGTGCAGAGGTTTGATATAACCCTCAAGGCTCAACCAAGATCGATCTGGACTAAGATCTTGAGCCATTATTTCAAAAATTTATAAGGATAATTTTTTGGACGGCGCGAAGCAGGAATCTCCAAAACTTGGGTCCTCTCCAAAACTAGAAATCTTCTACTACCAAAGCATTTGTATCTACATATCTGTTATCGAAACAAATAATGTTTAGTATAACAGAAACTATTTGTAAGTTCAAGTTTTGTCATTTTAGTAGAGAAAAATTATTTCTTCTTGACTTTGTGATGGAATTTATGAATAAATTCCAGTGAGTTCACCTACCGAATTGCTTCCGAAGGTGAGTGACCGGAAATGTCCAAAACGAAGACGTTCGGCACGTTCGGCGCACTGTCGTTACGTTCACCGCGGAGGAGATTTGAGTGGAAAGGGGGCTAGAGAATGGGATTCCATGCACTGGGAATTGGACTTGATGCACTGGGAATGGGATTCCATGCACTGGGAATGGGATTCCATGCACTGGGAATGGGATTCCATGCACTGGGAATGGGATTCCATGCACTGGGAATGGGATTTGATGCACTGGGAATGGGATTCCATGCACTGGGAATTGAATTTGATGCACTGAGAATGAGAAACTAGAAATACAAACATATTGTCATGTGATGTATTTTTTTGTCAAAATATTTGTCTTTTTGTGGGGATGGGATGGTGAGGGYGAGGAAATCTGACAACTAAACAACAATTGGTAAAATAATTCCTGGAGTTTAATGTTTATTTTTGTACAATATATTGTAATCAAATACTTTTACACTACATTTATTACAGAACTTAGTAACAGACAACCTTGGATTTGTGAAAAAAGCCAATTTGTAATGGTTTCTTTTTAAAGAAAAAGATTTGCTGCATGAAAACATTTCTCGGACTAAACTCCTTGTAGAAAATCCTATTTGAGCTTAATATCGAGGACTATGAATTTATTTTTCAATCACATAATTCAGAATTTTGTTTCCTAATTTGAGCCCAATTAGGACATCTAGCCAGGAGTCTATAGTTGGTCCCCCTAATACTATGACTGGCCTTTGTTACATGCCTAAAGTGGACGTCAGGAGAGCAATGTTTTTTAGAGTTTTGTTAGAACTAGGAAAGAGGAGGAGGGAATGAAAGAGTTCTCTCACTTCCTTCTTTCCCACCAACCTCCTCTGCTGTTTTTGCTACTAGTACTTTAGATGTATTTTAGAAAATATGTATTGTAATGCATGAATAGACTAAAAGATGGACCTGTTTTGTTTTAAGTGTGCGTTTTTCAATTTGTCAAACACATGCCATTCTCTGGAACACTATCTTTGCTCCAGAGTCACTGAAAAAAAAAACTCAATGAAAGAAAATTTGGTTGAATTGCCCTATTTCACTATGACGTCACATCAAAACAATCTATTGTTTAAATGCAAAGGATCATGGTTGTAGGAGGGGTCAAATCAATGCAAATTCACCTGAAAATATTGTTCTAAAACCTGTATCAATCCACGAAGAGAAGTAGTAATTTTTAGTACATATTAACACATATTATATCTGAAAACCTATTGGATTTGGCGATTCTATCCCCCACACAAAGAAGCAGTGACGTCATAATGAAATCGGGCAATATATTGGAATAGACCAGTTTCAAATTCCAAATAATCACTGTGTTTCTTGAATACAGACTCATTTACACAGGGTTAGCCTTGTATCAGTGAATCAGTGTCTAACTATTCACAAATACCAACAGTTAAGTAAAGAATGCACAACTTCAACAATACAAACACTTTGAAATTCCACAGACCTTCACTGCAATACATGAATATTCTCCACAAAGTCGAGGCTAGCCCTGAGCAACAGAGAACTCAAAACTGGGGTATTTTTCTTGTTAGGTTTTCCGAAGGGAGAAAAACCTGTGAACCTGGAGAAAAACCCTTCAGTCAAGAGACAAAACCTAACAAACTCTAATCGCATGTGATGGACAGAGCAGAAAAACAACAAGCCCGCTACTTTCACGATTTTTTATTTAACTGAGTTTGATACTTCAAATTTTTAAGCGTTTCCTCTGTGTCACTGCTGCTCAAAACTTGAGGAAATTTTGTCGAGCCATTAGAGTAAAAATCTACTTAGCATTCACAAAAATGTCAGTTTTTCTGCTGATCAAAATATCACCTCTCCACAGTACACGTTTTGTATTTCAAATATGCATTCAATAAATTTTGGTCGCATTTAATATTTTGCTATTTTGCTCCAAAAGAACGTGTTTACAAAATATTGAGCTTAAATACGTACAGCTGTCCTTATGGCGAAAGGCCAAAAACCGTTTTTCTGCCCTGTCCATGTGATGTTGGGGATCAAACCCTAGAACCCAGAGATGAAAGATGGTTGCACTAACATTACACTACCCTAAAAAGATTTGATAGCTTTTAGACGTCTGGGTCTGGCAATCACAGAATAATGTGCTACGTAGGGAGATGCTTTGGTCACAGGCATAAAAAGCATAATCAGGTGAGAGAAACTATTCACCTTTTCGGCGCTAGCCGTCACGAAGTATAAATTGTTTTAGATTGCGTTACTGTCACCAGAAAGTTCGGACATTCTTGAATTTCCGTACAAATGTACTGACTTTAAATGAACTATTTACTTGGTTCGTTTAGTTAGTTCTCTAAATACAAGTAAATTATCATTTTTCTAGCTTGATTGAAGCTTTTCTTACTGCTGTTAAGATAGCTAACTAAAGAAATCTACCTACATTTTCTCTTTAAAGTCAGTGAATTTGTATGGAAATCAGAGAACGCCGTCCGAACTTTTTGGTAACCGTGACACAATCCACGGATAAAATGTACGAATTCTTGTCGCAGGGTCTTTAAAATCACAACAATAATTAAATGATATTTTGTACAAGCGAGTAGACATTTATGAACAAAAATAGAAAAAACAAACAAAAAAAGAAATAAGTTAAGAAAAATTATCTACTTCTTGATCGGTCTCGATGTTTGCTTGTGGAGTCATAGTCATCGCTGTGGCGCCTCTTCTTTCTTTCATGGCTGCGACTTCTTTTTCTGTCATGACTTCGACTACGACTTCGACTATGGCGGTCTTTGCTTCTTGATCGGTCTCGATGTTTGCTTTTGGAGTCATAGTCATCGCTGTGGCGACTTTTTTTTCTTTCATGGCTGCGACTTCTTTTTCTGTCATGACTTCGACTTCGACTCCGACTACGGCGGTCTTTGCTCCGTTGACGGTCATGTTCTCTGCTTCGGTGCTTTTCACGGCCACGATCACGTCTGTCACGATCACGGTCATCTCGTCTATCACGATCTCGACGGGACCTTTCACGGCTTCTGCTTCTACTTCTTTTAGGGCGTGAATCTCGGTCACGACTGTAACGTGAGCGCTCACGGTCACGGTCACTAGAGCCCCGTCCTCTTTCATTTTCACGATCGCTGGATACTCTGTCAATTCTTCCATTCCTTGATGGGCTGTGCAAGGAAGTTATATAAAAGATATTACTTAAATACTCACTMCACTTCCCAAATGAGTCCTCCCATTTATTGTCTCTAGGCAGAACTCCCCCATCCCACTCTCCAGGCCACCCCTGCCCCCACCCCACCCCATCTCACCTCACCCTCAGGTACCCAGGCACACCTTTCATGCCCTACCACACGTCTGTCTCACCTGGCTCTTTCACGATTTTCTTCCTTCCATCCATCATTAGCAGTCCTTTTGTGATCATCACAGAGATTCAGCTCAGACAGTTTTCTTTCAATGTCTTTCTGGATTGGTACCGGGATACGAGGGAAAAGAGTACCATACCATTCCAGCTTCAACAGGAAGCTTCGGACCAACTGGCCCATAGTCATGGGACAGCCTGTTCCAGCCTTGGGGTCGAGTTCCTGAAATAAGAAAATATTGAAGGAGAAATGCAAGTTAACATCTAGGAATATCAAAAAATATAAATATCAAATTTTGAGAGTAAGGGAAAGACACCAAAAGTGCATACTCTGAAAGTTTAAATCAACAGAACTCTTTACTTTGGGTATAATATTATCTCATTTTAAACCATGTGGCATTCCCTTGAGGATTGTTTCAGACTTTGAGTACCAGTAATGCTTAAAATACTACATTATACCCATATCCATAATTATGCAATCAAATCAGCCCAACATGTCTGGTTTGGCTGCTGTTAATCAAAGTATTACTAACTGTTGAAAATTTTGATTGACAGAAGCAAAAAACTCGGTAACTGGTCTTTTCAAACCAAAGTCTTTTTCGATCCAGGTCTTTTCGAACCAGGTCCAGACTTTATGTTTGAAGTGACTATGGGGGCTAACTTATTGACTTGTAAGTGATACTAGCACATATCACACATGATCACACACAATACTTAATTCACTTCTTCTGTGATATTTCTGTAATATTTCCGAAAGAAAACACTAAACATCTATAAAATATTTCACAACTGTATTGGATTGAATGTGTATTTATATGGATCAAAAGTGTATGTATGTGGATCCAAAGTGTATATAGGTGGATTGAAAGTGTATATAGGTGGTCCGAAAAGACCTGGACCTGGTTCGAAAAGACCTGGGTCGAAAAGGCTTTGGTTCAAAAAGACCGGTATTCAAAAACTCAGATGTCTTGGGCTGAGTTGATTGCATTCTATGAAAAGGGGTGTAATATTAATGTTTTTGAAAAGGAAAGGGAAAAAAAATAAAAAAAGTATTTTATAAGTGCTAAATCTCATGAACTGAAGTTACAGAAATAATCTTTTTTTAAAATAATATGTTGGAGAAAAAAAGTGTTTTCTTAGGGTAAGTCCAGATTAATTGTAACCTCAGATTAATTGATTAACCTCAGTTATTGATGTAAATGTATCTTGGCTCAGAGGGGGCCATTGGTGGCTGAATCAGAGCTACTGTATCCTGGAAACACATCAAAATATTGTCAACAAGAATAATGACGGGGACTAAATAGATCTACAGTAATTAAAAACTGTATGTCAAAACAATCCTTCAAGGACTGGTGAGAAGCACTCCAGTTTTAAATTTGCTGCTCAACAGGGTTAGCCTCAATTTCGTATGAAATTACATTGAATATTCATGCATTTCAGTGAAGCTATTGAATTTTGAAGCGCTTGTATAGTTGAAGTTCTAAATTCTTTAGTATATTGTTTATATCTGTGAATATATTTTAGATACTGAATTGAGGTTAACCCTGTATAAATGAGGCTGTGATAAAAAAAGACAACGTTATTGACTAATTTGAAAAGGGTTTATTGGCAGCCCGGGGGGTACTCCCATATATGGACTATACGGGGATGATCCGCTGAACAGGGTATGGTTTTTCGAGCTTCTTATTATAAACAGGGTATGCAATTTCACTCAAGTTCCAAGTTCTTCCCGAGTTTCCTGTCATATTCAGAGATTCTGCTTTCATATTGACCAAAACTGGTTATTATGTTCGTAAAAGAACGATACGTGAGATGACATGATAATTGAAACAGGAACTCAGTGCAATAAATTATATCTTTTATCATAAACAGAGTCCACAAATTTGAGTTTTTTTTATCATAAACAGGGTACCCCTTTCAGAATCCCAGCGGAACACCCCTACCCAAATNATCATTTTTCTAGCTTGATTGAAGCTTTTCTTACTGCTGTTAAGATAGCTAACTAAAGAAATCTACCTACATTTTCTCTTTAAAGTCAGTGAATTTGTATGGAAATCAGAGAACGCCGTCCGAACTTTTTGGTAACCGTGACACAATCCACGGATAAAATGTACGAATTCTTGTCGCAGGGTCTTTAAAATCACAACAATAATTAAATGATATTTTGTACAAGCGAGTAGACATTTATGAACAAAAATAGAAAAAACAAACAAAAAAAGAAATAAGTTAAGAAAAATTATCTACTTCTTGATCGGTCTCGATGTTTGCTTGTGGAGTCATAGTCATCGCTGTGGCGCCTCTTCTTTCTTTCATGGCTGCGACTTCTTTTTCTGTCATGACTTCGACTACGACTTCGACTATGGCGGTCTTTGCTTCTTGATCGGTCTCGATGTTTGCTTTTGGAGTCATAGTCATCGCTGTGGCGACTTTTTTTTCTTTCATGGCTGCGACTTCTTTTTCTGTCATGACTTCGACTTCGACTCCGACTACGGCGGTCTTTGCTCCGTTGACGGTCATGTTCTCTGCTTCGGTGCTTTTCACGGCCACGATCACGTCTGTCACGATCACGGTCATCTCGTCTATCACGATCTCGACGGGACCTTTCACGGCTTCTGCTTCTACTTCTTTTAGGGCGTGAATCTCGGTCACGACTGTAACGTGAGCGCTCACGGTCACGGTCACTAGAGCCCCGTCCTCTTTCATTTTCACGATCGCTGGATACTCTGTCAATTCTTCCATTCCTTGATGGGCTGTGCAAGGAAGTTATATAAAAGATATTACTTAAATACTCACTCCACTTCCCAAATGAGTCCTCCCATTTATTGTCTCTAGGCAGAACTCCCCCATCCCACTCTCCAGGCCACCCCTGCCCCCACCCCACCCCATCTCACCTCACCCTCAGGTACCCAGGCACACCTTTCATGCCCTACCACACGTCTGTCTCACCTGGCTCTTTCACGATTTTCTTCCTTCCATCCATCATTAGCAGTCCTTTTGTGATCATCACAGAGATTCAGCTCAGACAGTTTTCTTTCAATGTCTTTCTGGATTGGTACCGGGATACGAGGGAAAAGAGTACCATACCATTCCAGCTTCAACAGGAAGCTTCGGACCAACTGGCCCATAGTCATGGGACAGCCTGTTCCAGCCTTGGGGTCGAGTTCCTGAAATAAGAAAATATTGAAGGAGAAATGCAAGTTAACATCTAGGAATATCAAAAAATATAAATATCAAATTTTGAGAGTAAGGGAAAGACACCAAAAGTGCATACTCTGAAAGTTTAAATCAACAGAACTCTTTACTTTGGGTATAATATTATCTCATTTTAAACCATGTGGCATTCCCTTGAGGATTGTTTCAGACTTTGAGTACCAGTAATGCTTAAAATACTACATTATACCCATATCCATAATTATGCAATCAAATCAGCCCAACATGTCTGGTTTGGCTGCTGTTAATCAAAGTATTACTAACTGTTGAAAATTTTGATTGACAGAAGCAAAAAACTCGGTAACTGGTCTTTTCAAACCAAAGTCTTTTTCGATCCAGGTCTTTTCGAACCAGGTCCAGACTTTATGTTTGAAGTGACTATGGGGGCTAACTTATTGACTTGTAAGTGATACTAGCACATATCACACATGATCACACACAATACTTAATTCACTTCTTCTGTGATATTTCTGTAATATTTCCGAAAGAAAACACTAAACATCTATAAAATATTTCACAACTGTATTGGATTGAATGTGTATTTATATGGATCAAAAGTGTATGTATGTGGATCCAAAGTGTATATAGGTGGATTGAAAGTGTATATAGGTGGTCCGAAAAGACCTGGACCTGGTTCGAAAAGACCTGGGTCGAAAAGGCTTTGGTTCAAAAAGACCGGTATTCMAAAACTCAGATGTCTTGGGCTGAGTTGATTGCATTCTATGAAAAGGGGTGTAATATTAATGTTTTTGAAAAGGAAAGGGAAAAAAAATAAAAAAAGTATTTTATAAGTGCTAAATCTCATGAACTGAAGTTACAGAAATAATCTTTTTTTAAAATAATATGTTGGAGAAAAAAAGTGTTTTCTTAGGGTAAGTCCAGATTAATTGTAACCTCAGATTAATTGATTAACCTCAGTTATTGATGTAAATGTATCTTGGCTCAGAGGGGGCCATTGGTGGCTGAATCAGAGCTACTGTATCCTGGAAACACATCAAAATATTGTCAACAAGAATAATGACGGGGACTAAATAGATCTACAGTAATTAAAAACTGTATGTCAAAACAATCCTTCAAGGACTGGTGAGAAGCACTCCAGTTTTAAATTTGCTGCTCAACAGGGTTAGCCTCAATTTCGTATGAAATTACATTGAATATTCATGCATTTCAGTGAAGCTATTGAATTTTGAAGCGCTTGTATAGTTGAAGTTCTAAATTCTTTAGTATATTGTTTATATCTGTGAATATATTTTAGATACTGAATTGAGGTTAACCCTGTATAAATGAGGCTGTGATAAAAAAAGACAACGTTATTGACTAATTTGAAAAGGGTTTATTGGCAGCCCGGGGGGTACTCCCATATATGGACTATACGGGGATGATCCGCTGAACAGGGTATGGTTTTTCGAGCTTCTTATCATAAACAGGGTACCCCTTTCAGAATCCCAGCGGAACACCCCTACCCAAATCCTGGCGGAGTACCCCCCCCCCCCCCAGGATTGGCAGGAGAGGGAAGAGGTGATTTCAAATTTTCCATTATTCATACTATATCTTGATAATACTATTATAAAAATCCTTTTATTTTTTTATTTCTGTTTCAATTGTTTTTTTTATGACCAGACATTGAGACAAGATTTAAAAATAAAATCTCAAAGGACTGAATATTTTGACATACAGTTTTGAAATTATTTAAACAGAAACTTACCAAAAAGGTCAAGAAACTTGATGCTTAAAATCAGCACCTACCAACGCCCCCTAATTCTTACCAAGGTTAATAATAAATATTTATCGATCTTATTATTTATATGGATAAATTAGATAATACTTTACCTCCTCATCTTCTAAATAGGGTGCATACCAGTCCCATAAATCGGCCGGTGGCTGGCAGTACCTAAAATATTAACACATTCTTAATAAGAATAAGAATTTTCTTATCTCATTTTGATCTTTGTAATAAAATAATATAAATGAATCACAATCCATGCAAAAGCTCATGCATTTCATACAATCTTCCTTTTCTTTTAATGGCTGTGTATGAGAAGACAACTGTGTAGTTACAGAAAATATTTATACTGCCAACTCATAGCAAATTTGTAAAAGGACCCCCTGACCCCGAGGAACTTCTAATTTTCTTCCATACGGACTCTTTGATTTGGTTCTTTCTGACCCCCTCCCCTCCAGAATTTCCAATTTCATCCATGGGTGGGGTATGGACATTTTCTGGAACTACACATAAAAATCATTACATCCAATCCAATAAGGTCTACAACATGGAAAGCACCGTTGGCATAGCTGTGAGAGCGCTCGCCTCTCACCAATGCAACCTGGGTTTGAGTCCCCCTGAGCTTGGTTTCGTATGTGAGTAGAGTTGCTTGTTGGTTCTCTCCTGTGCTTGGAGGGTTTTCCGGGTTCTCCGGCTTTAATCCCTCCGCAAAAATCAACTTCTAAATTCCAATTGGAATCCAGTGGAAGGAGAGACACTCTGTTGAATCCACTGTTGATCCCATTATTATCTATTATTTATTTATTTACAGCATTTCTATTTCTCTTGGGCATCATTGCAAACCAGTCATTTCTGTTATGCTGAATGACAAGCAGGACTAGTGATATTATTCAATGCTAAAGAACCAAGGTTACAGAAAAAGATAATTCTAGCCTAATGAATATCAGTGGATAAATAGTCATGCTTACCATCCACCATGACAGAAATCACCTGTTTACAGCTAGAGGACCCTCCATGATGACAGGTTACGAAAAAAAGGAAATAAGTAAGACAATGTGTAGCTCACAGAATTAATAGGAATCTTGCTTTTTAAGTTTTGCAGAGGGAAGAAAAACCAGAGGACCTGGAGAAAAACCCTTAAATAAAGGAAGAAACCTAACAAACTCTACTAAATCGTGATGCTAAGGCCAGAAATTTTAGACCCCAAAGATGAGGGGTGAGTGTACAACTGCTACACCCCCTTTGATTGAAAAATCACCTCTCACCAATGTGACCAGGGTTCAATTTTCAGGCTGAGTGTCAAATGGGTAAAGTGCTCCAGTTTTTCTTCCTCTGCAAAAATGTACTGTTAAATTCAAATTCAATCTGGTATTGAGTACTTTAATCATGCCCCAAGATTGAGAAATAATTCCCTGTGTAAAATAAATACAAATATTTGATAAGATGCTATTTTTTTCAGTACCTGATGTACATAAACCCAAGAGCCCTAATATAAGGTGAGTCTGTGTGAGTTAAAAGACCATTTAACTGTTTCCTTGTCAGACGAAGAGTGAACAGCTTGTATAAGATGCAGAAAGTTGTTGAAACGATACCACCTGCGCCAACACCACGAACCTGTTTGGAAAAAAGCAACATTATCAAATTGTCAAATATTTTCAGACAAAACATTTCATGGCCAAAGTTTTAATGTAGTTTAAGCAGCGAGATTAACCAGCTAATCTACTTACTTACCCCACCACACATGCCAACTTGTCCTGATGTCTTGCGGCTACCCTTCTCCCATGGTTCTAAATGTTCCACCTGAAAAATATTTTACATATATTGTTCACATTTTTGACAAAACCATTGACTTAAAAATTCTGATGCTAGAAAAAAAAAGATTTTTATGCTTCTGTCACTCAGACATCCCGGACATGGCATTAGACAGTTTGTTTGCCATTCTTCGATGCTCCTATATCATGCTAGTGTCATATTCCACGATATATGATTTACCGAAAAAATAAGTTTACTCTTAAATTACGTCACATTGATAATAGTTTGTTCTTTTTAACATACTTATTCTCACATTAACCCCAAGAGCAGAATATCATAGTAAAATTGCAATGTTTCGTAAAGATTGCCCTCAAACTGACAAAGATATGAATTTTGAAACTAAGTAATTTCAAGGAATTTTTATAAAGCAATGTGTCCAGCCCAATAACCAGGCTTGCTCGGCATGGAATGCTTGTCCACATACATTTCTTTGAAAAAATGCTTAGTTTCAACAATTCATATATTCTTCAGTAATGACGTTTTTAAGACGTTCCTCCTTCGTCGTGTCGGAGTAAAAGAAAAAACTCGAGGAAGAGTAGAGTGTACGCTTATATATACAGTTAAAGGCATAATTAATCTTCAGTATTTTGTATTCAGTATTGAGTACATACAGGAACTTTGTTCAAAATCATTTTTAGCAAACATTCAAAGTTGATTGAGATAGTCGATATTTTTAGAACAAAGATCATATTTTTACGTTTCTTACGTGCTGTAAGTCCAAGCCTGATGCTTTACAACGAAGCGGTGGACGAGCCTCGAGTCGCCCTTACCTTGTAATAAATCTCATCTACAACCTCGTGGTAGGTTTTTAGCTGGTATAACACGTTTTTGAAGTATGGAGATTGTAAGACATTAGTTAGAACCATGTTGTTTAGATTCATCGTTCTATCGTTCCCCCATATCGGTAGAACGTTCGACTTTTTTGTCGGTCTTCCTTCGTATTGACTCGTTTCCTCTGAATCCATGACGAAATTTAAGAATATAACTAGCTACAAATTGAACATTTTGGTGAAAATTCTGAAGTTATAGAGGCAAAGTAATCTTAGACATTTTTGGAAGCTCGTTCTAGAAAAAGTTAACGGTCCAAGATGGCGGATCTAAAAGATATATCCCATAATAATTATTTCGTACCAAGTCTACTTTGTACATTTATGACCCAGGAAACCCAGTACTGAACACCTGTTAGGAGCTTCGAAATATGATTAGTCTATCGCGAAAGAAAAGTTTTTTTTGTTGCATTATCATTTCCATCACAGGATTTTTTTTCACAAGCTCTTATTGTTTTAGGAGGATTACATAAATTATGGAGAACATTTTTGCCATCTATTTTAGCTTCTTTTGTGAGCAGTTTGACCCGGAAATACGTCACAACTGAAAAAGCTCAATTTCATCCATTTTCTATCATAGGTAAGAGCTTCTTTAGATTTTCAATTTAATTCCCGGGGATATGATAGGTGGAAACAATTACGCATAACCGGAAATAATTGATTTTCCCCACAGTTCTTTGTATATGATATATATGGCCTTTGGTCTGTGAATTAATTCAATGTAGTAAACCAGACAAAAAAAAGCAATTTTCTATTTATTCAATTGGAATATTATTACTAGTATTCAGTAGAGAAATTAAGATTTACTCTCTAGTCCAGTGGGGCTACTATCCCCATATAAAGTATTTGACGACAATGAGAAATGAGACAAAATTGCGTGAAAAGCCACGAATTTCAAGCAATAGAAAATGAACAAGAGAAGGAATCTCCGCGCCCCATCATGAGCACTCTTAAATTCGATGCTATTTTTAGAATCTTATATGCTATTTTTAGAATCAATCATTCTATTTTTAGAATCATTAATTTGATCTTTTGTTTTTCTGTTGTTGTTTTTTCTTCAAAAAGACGTGAGCAAGCAGCATATAGTGTACGCAGTATGAGCTGCAGAAAAACGAACTAACGGTGGCAAAGATGTTTCTAAATCAAGCATTAAACGATGCCTGTGATGCTAACAAGCATAAATACCAGAGATTCCTTCTCTTAGTTCATTTTCTCTTGTTTCAAGTCTTTCCAGAAATCGTGCCTGATATGCCCATGAAAACGAATAATACTTGATTCCAGTGATCCAGATTATTTCCACTTTTGAAAGCCATACATATGTGGCATAGTTTGTATCTCAGTCTTCCGGCATCAAATTCCATATCTAGACATTACTTTCAATCATATCTCAGCCAATCAGAATCACCATGTTATAGACGTGGAGACAACGCACGCGGGCAAAGATTTTTCGATATTTTTTAAAAACACCACATGATGTATATCCAAATTTAGCCGAAGTTTAAAAGCTCAAAAACTTCGTACAAGGACAGCAATGAATTGTTGATCCTTTGTTGAGCCTCTTGTGTCAAGGAATACACGTAGGATTTGATGTAATAAATGAACCAAAAGTAAGCTGAGCGCCTCTTTTCGATGCACTTGAACGTTTCTACAATCTGTGGCTATGGACAAGAAAGAAAAAAATTAAGTCTGAAAGTTACATATATATATTACAAATACCGTGCTGGGGCGCTTTTTAGCCCAGTCATTCTTACTGCGCTTGCTCGATGTATTTTTCATTGAAGTCGTTCCCAAAGCCCTTATTTCTTATTGCGCTTGATCGACAAAATAATTATTTAAAAGAGACTTGCGCAAAGAAAGAGCATTTTTGGCTGAGAAAAACGAGTGTAGGATGGCCCATAAGAGACTTGGAACTAGCTAGACGAATTGCTGCAAGTAAGCAAGAAACGAATTCTAATCGATTTAAAGTACGTATTTCATTTTTGCAGAGAAACTTCAAGCGAATCTCTTCAGCTCAATAGCTTTCGATTTGATGTAACTTCGTGGTAATCATTCCGCTCTAATAATGATGACAGTGGGAACGAATGGGGAAAAACTGGAAGTTAACATGATGCTCGGAGCCTATACAACGCATTTGAGTATACATGCATTGAAGCTCGGTGAGGTTACACTATGAAAAACTTCTATATCTATATATTCCAAAAGAAAAAAGAACAAAAAAAAAAAAAAAAGGAACAAAACAAAAGAAGGGAAAAAAGCATAAATCATGAATCACAAATAGTGGTGAGATATCTTCCCCCAAGAAACAATCTCTATGCTAATCCACAGCAGGGCAGGGCATGGCTAACACAACTCACAGTTCGAATCTGGAGAACCAGGAGAAAAACCCCTTAAATAAAAGACAAGATCCAAAAATATCATATATTTGCCTAAATAAAAAAGCACAGTACAGGAATTTAATTGAATTAAGAACCTTGAGAGATTAGAGGCATAAGCAGTACCACTATACTACCTTTGATGCACTAAGCCTACACTGATGTTATCTGCATACTTACAAAAATGATGGAGTGGTGAGAAATCTATGGCCACCAAAGTCTTGTGGATATTTGAACATGAGAAAGAAGTACATATGACCAACAAATATACCAATCAACTCCATCATACCACTAAGAAAAAAGCAAAAGACAAATTAACATAATCAACAATTTTGCATTTATTGTCAAGTTAAAAAAATCATGAATCTA